AGGAATAAAAATTAAAATATTTAAATAAAAAAGTGCGCTGAAAGATACACAATACTACATGAAAGAAGACTACCCTAAATATGTACTTGAAAAAAGGAAGGAGCTACAGGAGCAACTGAAACTAGAGAGAGAAAAAGGAAATACAGCCATACTCAAATATGATAAACTTATTGTATTTGTTTGTATTGTCTGATAATAAAAAAGTAATAAAAATTAAAAACAACACACTAACTTATTTTTTTTAAATAGGATGAGGGTGACAAGCGAGTACACAGTCCACCTGAAGGTAAGTGGATGCTGTGGCCTATAGACATCTACATTCGATTAAGAATCAAAATGCAGATGCGTTGCACCCCTGAGGACTAAGGTGGAATGCCTCGATCCCAGTAAAACGGGTCTCCGGTTCTCTACACTCATAACGGGTAGCATTAAGCTGCTGTGTTTCGTATGGTGAGTTTGTCTCTCATGATCAATAACTGCAGTGGTGAACGTTTATTTTCGACATGGAACCGTATAAAAAAAAATAATTTGGGGAACACTATGAGTCAAGAATGTCTGACTTATTTCGCTGATTGTTATTGCTCAGAGAAATTAATACGTATAGTATTATTTCTAATTATGCAAAATACATGCGCACTGTACTATTGAAATTATTGTTGAGTATTTACGGCACGATATAGCTTTCAGTAGTACTTGAAATTTTTGTGTCAACATTCCAAAAAAACATTCAATACTTTTGCGTCCGCGACTTAACCTATAATTGTAAATTCTTTTCACATTATCCAGATTTCTAACTGAATATGGTCTCAATAAATTTTTCCTCAGAGGGAATGCATTATCTCCTACAAAGTAGTAAGGAAAACTATTGCCATTGGCATCATTTGGCAATAGTGTTAATTCAGTTGGGATGCTTAAACCTTCCCTTTCCAACCAGTGCCCAAGCGCTGTTACCTGGAACACGCCCCCGTCACTGTTCCGTCCCGCAAGTCTACATTCAATGCTCGTAAAATATCCATCTGCATCACAGCATCCAAACAAAATAATAGAATGATACCCATTATAATTGTAGTTGGCTGAACCTGTATTAGGGAATTTCTGTACCCTGATGTGCTTACCGTCAATAGAACCCGAGCAATTGGTTGATTGGCGAAGTTCATAACACTTTTTCGCAATTTCTTTCCATTCATCAGTAGTTGGTACAGGCATGTACGTATCCTTCAATGCATTCCATATTATTTTAGTCGTTTCTGATATTACGCGTGACACTATACATTCACCTCGGGCAAAGTAAAGTCCTAATGCTCGAAACGAACAGCCTGTAGCTAAATACCTCAAAATAAATTATATTTTGTTTATTTTATTATCAGTTTATTGTGCAAAAAATACAGCAGAGCTATTTTGTCAGTTATCAATGAAAGCGATGGTCACTACGAATTGTCAAAACGTCGTCTTGGTACTAGTTATCGTCGGATACCAACTAGAATGATAAAACGTAACATCTAAACATTTCATAGTCCATAATTTAGGTGTAGTGAGTATCGTTTTTGTTTTTGATTGAGTTTAATAGCCCTGCACATCAATAAAATATATTTGTGAATAGAAAATCCTCAAGTTAGTACCTAAGTATTTAAATGTAATGAAAATCTGTTTGTTTCAGTAAACGATAAAATTATAGAAACGAAAAATATTAGAAATGGTTTTGTTCGAAGTTTAAAACCGAAGGCTAGTGGATCGGCTACCACCAGAAAAAAATAATATTTGCACGATGAGATGCAGTTTATATTACCATACCTATATTACCAGTCATTCACATTGAAGAAAATGGAAATTTACCAAATCCTGAATTATCGCCTCTCAATCAGGAACCAGCGTCCACCGAAGAGCGGGACGTTGATTCTAACAGGAATATTACGGAAGAAACTAATTCAGAAAACCATAAAACCTAATGAAGATGATCCACGAAAAATGTTCCTTCTGAGCTTGCTACCCGACATACAAAGTCTTTCAGATGAACAAATGAGCGCCTTTAGAATAAAAGTGTTAATTCTTCTAGAAGAAATTAAAAAACCAACGTCTTCAGTAATCCAGTCACAGCTGCACCAATATAGAGACTATTCTCCGATTTCCTCCGTTAATTCCCATACTCCACTGGTCCCATCCACACCTTCTGCAATAAATTATTCCATCGACTCACAAGTTTTCTCTGGGTATTCACAACCACAAGCTTTAACACTGACCCCTATTAATTATTCCCAAAATATTAACGATTTTGAAGATTTTGCAATAGAATAAACATGATATACATGTACATTTTTCAACTGTGATTTTGCATGATAATTAAATAAAAAATATTTTAATTAAAATTGTTTTACTTACCGCAATGTTATTAATATCCTTTCATCTGGGCTGACACATTCTCGCATATTGGTGTTTTGTTTTTGTAACAGAGGGGCTACGATTTGCAGTAAATTCTGATAAATAGTTTTACTCATTCTATAGAATGAGTGAAATACACTATCATCTTCTAATAATTCTCTTGCCGCAACAAACAATCTACAGTTGATATTTTTTTCTATATATGGATGCACCCAATATAATCGACGTCTACGGCGTCGAATGTAGTAATAAGCCAAAATAACGTCTTCTTCGTTCGACGACATTCTCACAAATGATTGTAAACGTACGCTAGCAATACGCCTCGTGGACAGAGTTAGTACGCTGGGCTACACAAGCTACACGGCGTATTTTGAAGCGTCTGTGAAGCTATGTCTCCGTGGACAGTAACGTTAAGTGTACCAGCTCAAACGAACGAATCATGCATGATTGACACATGTCTAAGTTGTTGTTTTATTATAGTTTATAAGTGATGTTCGGTTGTTGCTACAATAAGTTTGGTTGAGTTGGGATTAGCCCTCTGTTTCTTGTTGTCTGTTTAGATTTTCATGCTGGAACCACATTGTATAATTGCCGACATAAGTCGTGAGCACACTTTTTATTGGTCGATACGACGTTGGCCACGCTGACGTTCAACGTAATTGGTTCATCAGTCGATTCTCGTCGTCTATTGGTTACGAACGTATCATTCTGCTTCCGTACACATGAGATCAATTATTTTAGTGATAACTTTTTTAATTAGTTTATTTTCGTTGATTGTTTTTGTTACCTCGTTGTTAATTGTTGTTTGTGTATTCCTTGTTATTAATTGTTTTTGTTATTTCTTGTTTTTAATTATTTTTGTTGTTATAATTTGAGTGTTCAGATTTTGGTCTAAATATGCAGAGAAGGAAGAATTCGGTGTTAAATAGACAATCCTCACAAATGGTCTATTTAGTGTTTAGTTACATGAAAAAAATAGGTACTGCGAAAAACATCATAGACCTATATAAACAGACTGCTGAGGCGACTAATGTCTCAGTAGCTACCGTACGGTGCACCGCAACATCAGATTTTATGGAAGGCATATCACCTCTTCCTTCTTCTTAATAAAATAATCAATTCTAACTACCAGGTATACATTAAATACTTTATAGTAGATAATAAAATAACGGACACGAATATCTGCAACATTACTGTGTCAAAGTAAAAGTTGATGTGTTCAACTAAACATATTCATAAAAGTCGGTGAAAATATTCAATTACGAATTGAAATAATAAAGGTACCCAATAATTTTGCCCGACAGTGTACTTACCTCCCACCACAGTTTATCTGTGTTCACAACTCGTGTCGGCAACTATACATAAGACGCTAGATTGCATGATTTTATGAGATCATGGATTAGTTTATTAAGATAATTTTAATCAATACTAGCTGGTATCCGGCGCGTTGCTACTGCAGAAGAAATTATTGTTACTATAAACCCCTATAAACTTCAACATATAATATTTATTTACAGTATCTAGGTATTTATAAATTACTTACTTATACGTTCGTCCTTATTTATTCGTACTTATTAAATTGTTAATTAAACCAAAAATAGATATATTTATGATAGAAGAAACGTATTTAATATTAATACATTAATGAATATAAAAAGACCAATAATAACGAAAGAAATTATAAATTGGAGTGGGGGGGGGCTAACTATAAGGCAGATTTTTAATTTTTTTTGTCAATAAATTATTGAGGAACAAACAATTATTGATAGAGAACAAACCACTATAACCAACATATCATAACCAATGATATGTGATAACGATACTTGAAAAATAAAAAATAAAAAAATTTGGGGGATTAACTTCAGTGAGCTGAAAATGAAATTAAAACTTTTCAATATCTTTCCATGTGTTCATATTTATTTTATTAGAATACATATTGCTTTCAAATTATCAACCAAGTTCGACCGGTTGTTTTTGCGTCCGCCAACGGCAAACGTTTTTACGTGGTAGAGCCATGCTGCAGTTATATTAGTAGTATAGTTGTAGCACGAATGGGTCGGCACGACCGGGAAAGGACCACGCTCTCACAGAATACCAGCATCAAATAGTAGCTTAATGCTACTGTGTTTCGTATGGTGAGTGTAGAGAACCGGAGGCCCGTTTTACTGGAAACGAGGGTTTCCATCTAAGTCCTCACGGATGACAACGTATCTGCATTTTGATTCGTAATCGAGGATAGATGTAGATGTCTATGGGCCACAGCAAGCACTTACCATCAGGTGGACTGTGTGCTCGTTTGTCATCCAATCCAATAAAAAAATTAAAAAACCGCGGTATATTTACCCCAGCCAGTTTGGGAACTTTATCGCTAGTTCTTGAATCAGATTAATCAGTCCAATTCGTTCATCGAATCGTTGCGGTGCTCAGAATCGATTAAAAATTATTTTACTCCAGATAATCGATTTTTCGATTAATCGATTTCAGATCGACATGCGTATAAATATATGGTAGTTATAGTTTTCAGTATATTAGAAAGTACTCTGTGGTTATAGTATATACTTGCTAGCTTGTTACATTGCTTTATTTTTTAAGTTTTTTACACACATTTTTGCTTTAGCAAGAATATGTGTATCAAAGGTGTAAATTTGATTACATTTGACGCTACTAATACATTGCTTAGATTTCGTATACATCCTTGGCAGTATTACTCAATTGTCGCTCGCGATTATGGGTTCAAAGGTTCTGAAAACGATCTAAAACCCCGTTTGCTTGAAAACTATAAAGCTGTGTGGAATGAATATCCAAACTTTGGTAAAGGCCTTATTTCATGGGAAGACTGGTGGAGCCATGTTGTAAAAAGAACATTTAAAGGACAGCTCCCAAAAAGTGCTGATGTAAATCGTCTTTGCGATAAACTCATAAATGATTTCAAAACAACAAAATGTTGGCGTTTAGCAGATGGAGCTGACAAAATACTTAACATGTTAAGAAATCAAGGTATTTCTTTAGGAGTTATTTCCAATTTTGATCCTCGACTCGTTGAGATATTACAGAATATGCAAATATACAATAAATTTCATTTTGTCCTAACATCTTTTGATATTGGATATCCAAAACCAAATAGAAAAATGTTTGACCGTGCATCAATAGCATGTGAAAATGTTCATCCTAGAGCTTGTCTTCACATAGGAGATGACATTGAGAAAGATTATAAAGCAGCTAGAAGTGCAGGGTGGCATGCTTTACTAGTAACAAATCAAAAGTTAAAAGATAACTCAATTGTAGCAAAACATATATTTGTAAACTTAGATGAATTACATGATGCTATCTGTAATGATAAAGTTAAACTGTAAACTGTTATTTTTTTCTTTACAATTAATGTAAAATTACATTTTCAATTCTATGTGTTTGATAAATTACTAAGTTCATAAGTTACCTTTTATGATGCCAATTTCAATCATTGTTCATTCATTGTTTGCAAGACAAAAGTAATATTTTGGAACCCCTAGGTTTAGATGGGATATGTTTTAATGTAAGCAAAACTTTGATTTAAACTTTTTTTATCTTGAACTCAATTTCCTAATTCTAGAAGCTAAATTAAATTTCACATGTTTTATCCTTTTTGCATATTGTCATTTACAATATGATTAGATAAATTTACATTAAGTATTTAATTGTATTGTAACATCTGAATTATGATATTTAAGCTAAAATATAATAGGGTATTTCACCCATTTTCAAAAATCGTTTTAAATGAATCTTAGAGTGATTATAGTAGATGAATGAGATAGAGATGGAGTGATACAGAACACTAATATCTTTGGGCTGGATCATTGAAGGGATGACATGACTAATATGGTGGACACCGTTTAACAGATTAAAGGCACAGATGAAAAAAAATATTCTTAAATTGAAAAATAAAATTTATAATGCAATTTTATAAACAGAAATCTTGAAAGTCTTATGTTATTTGTATTCCTAATATTATGTATATTAGTCTTTAAAATATTTAACAAGCTTTGCTAAAGAATATTTAACATTACTAAGTTTGTTATCTTTATTTTAAAACATTATAAGTACCTAAAATATAGTATAGACCGATTCTAATATACAGACATTTCATTTCTGGTTTAACTTTGGAGTTGTTAAATATGACTTGATCATGGACTCGCCTTGTATATTGTTTTTATGTGAATGATGCTGCACTCAACATCCACAACCTATGTAATTAAATCATGGCATTGAGCTATTGAGACTCAATAGCTCAATGGTTAAGGGGGACTACAGTCTGAAAAGTTGTAGAATCTTTAACCGGGATGACAATAGACTCATGGGACCACCTGTAAGAGAGTTATTTCTGGGGAAAAGGGGAATATTAGATGAATATAATACTATTATTCTTTATTTAGAAAAAATTGATTTTTAGGTTTTCAAATCTCTATAACTTGTTTGTTATTACCAGTTGAGTAATAATTGTAGACTGCCCTTTTCTTCTACTAAACCCCAGTCTGGAATGGTAGCTGAAATATATCAACATGGGTGCAGTCAATAGCCCCGAGAATATCTGGCATACCATGCTCTTCTAGGTATCCTGTAGCTACATTTTGCCGTGCTTGTTTTTTTTTTTAAGAATATTAACAATGCTGTAAACATTACTAATATTCCCCTTAACCACTCGTGGTAAGCTTAAATTGCTTGTATTATGAGTGGTTCACGCCAGTAGTCGAATGGCGGATTCGTACTCACGACCTTTTTGAGTTCGCAGTCTGCGCCCTGCCATTAGGCTACTGTCGCTTCAGTTGTTATACGCCCGGAAATGATTTTCACTTCAGTATTAGTCAAAAATAAAATGAAAGAAGTAGATGCACTGAAACTTGTATTTATCTACACAAGAGGCTAATTAAAGTATATTGTTCCCCACATTCTAATGATGGCCCCAATAACTTGGGTCAAGTATTTGCTGATTATTTGTTGTATGAACAACAGTCATTCTATTGTCTTGACTCGTACCTCTCTGATAACTACCATCTGCCAAGAAACTGAAATATTTAAAGTACCTACCTGGATATACAATGTTTTTGCACAAGGTGTTTGTAATACAAGCTTACTTTAATATCCAAGGTAGTCCATCCACAGAATTAATAGGGTTTAAGGCCTCATAGATTTCTTTACACAAATACAACGCACAATCTTAGAGCATCTGAAACCGGCGTAGAAATTCGTCGGGGAATTCCAATGGATAAAATACTCTAATAACATATCGATTGCCAATGTAGTTTTCTTTTATGTTTTCAATTTCTGATACGAAAACGTAGTTGCAGTAGGTTCGAGACATCTTTTTTGTGTTAAAATGGTTTGAAGATAAACTTAAACCCAGGTTCATGAACGAGAATAAAATTGTCCCTTTCAAATGTCGAAAAAGGATAATTTTTTCTCTTTCTTTTGACCCCATGCTACAGACGAGGGGATATATGTGTACTCGTTAAGTAAAATGGGGATATACTATAGTGATAAGATAATTTTATCTCTTGTTAGTGGATATAATCGGGGGATATAATTTTTGTCTCCTGACCACGCTCGCAGGGTGGATAAAACTGAGCAAGGGATACAAATTATCGTCTCCCCGTGGATATATTGTCTCCTGAACCTACTAGCCCGGCAGGAGATATGAGAATGAGGGTATAGAGAGTGCATCTGTGCTCGCGCACACTCTTGCTTTGTAATCCTGTCCTGCGCAGATTAAAGGAGACTACATTAAGATTGGCCGCCCTGACCGAAATTCCAACAATCACCAACCGAGTGGGTTACAGCCTAGTGGCCAAATTAGAACACAATAGGTAGTGGAATATCTTCAATTAAGAATCAATAGTTGCCCCTTAAGTCTAAGAATGCCGCGTTATCGGTTAAAGAAGTATCGGGTTCTCTAACCTGCAGCATGTCCCATATCCTGTGTCCTAAGTCTGTGCTACATTTAACTCAAAGTGGGTGGGTGTCGTAAAAGGCGACACAGGGAAACAGGGAGGAGATGGGCAGCAGCATCTTCCTGATAACAGCAACTGTACAAAAAAATCTGTGGTTGCCAACCCGCTTGCCAAGCGTGGCAACTATGGCAATATACCCCCCCCATGAAGAATTACACAAATAGACGGCCCCCAGTCCCCGGCGGCCCCGCTATTCCTGGCTACGGTGGCGATCATGGTAACGGCGGGGCAGAGGGTGCTAAGAATCTCCGGTGGAGGTTCGGTTGCCACTTACGTCGACTCGACTTGCAATATTTAATGCATGCACCCTGAGGACTGACGAGAAGATCCTGGAACTGGAAGAAGAGATAGACAAGTTGGGCTGGAATATTATAGGGTTATCCGAGGTCCGAAGAGAGGGGGAGGACTCGGTGATTCTCGAATACGGCAACTTGTTCTATCACCGGGAGGGCGACCATCTGTCCCAAGGAGGTGTTGGATTTATCGTCCACAAGTCTCTCGTTAACAACGTTTTAAAGATTGGGAGTGTATCGACGAGGGTTACGTATCTTATACTCAGAATCACCAAACGGTATTCGCTGAAGGTCATAAAGGTTTACGCGCCAACGTCGGAACATCCCGATGAGGAGGTGGAATTTATGTGGATATTTTTAGAGCCATGCATTCCTCTAAAACTCACTATACAAGAAAGAACGGTGAGCTGAAGGTAGGGAAATTCGGGATAGGGCAACGGAATCCAAGAGGCCTGCAGCTGGCCGACTTCATGGATAAAGAGGGACTTTTTATAATGAACTCTTTCTTCCAGAAGCGTCTCCACAGGAAGTGGACCTGGTCGAGCCCCGACGGTTCGACGAAAAATGAGATTGACTTCTTTATGACGACCAGACGCCAACTGTTCAGTGATGTCTCAGTGATTGCAAGGGTGAAAACTGGCAGCGATCACCGAATGGTTAGAGACACACTGAACCTAAACGTTAAGTTGGAGGGATCTCGTCGAATGAAGTCCACGCTCCGTCCCCCTCGTGCTCTAATCCAGAATCCCGAAACCTTTCATCTCGAGTTACGTAACCGCTTTCAGCTTCGTGCCTAGAAGATTGCAATGCAGTGGACGATATGAATGACAAGCTCGTGGAAACTGTCCATGCGGTCGGAGCTAAGTTCTGCAAGACCCGCCGCAGAAGAACACAAATACTCTCCGATCACACTCTTAATCTCATGGCTGTTGGACGGGAGATGAGGCTGCAATCGTCAACAGATTTGACAGCATACAGGCAACCGAACAGACAGATCTCCAAATGCATGAGGCAAGACTTACGTAACTATAATACTTCTCGTATTAAAGAAGCGATCGAGCGGAACTACGGCTCCAAAGTCTTTGCCAGAGATCTGCCTACCAGAAAGAGTCAACTGTCAAAGTTGAAGACTGTGTGTGGCTGCGTCGTTTCCGTCACACTTGAGATTTTGAGGGAGATTGAGAGGTTCTATGGACAGCTGTACACATCATCGTTGGAGCCACACGCAAGTGTGAGTAATGATCCAAGAGCAAGTCTTATCCGATACTATTCCGATGACATCCCAGACGTCAGTCTGAGCGAGATTAGAATGGCTCTTCAGCACCTTAAAAACGGCAGGGCTTCAGGCGAGGATGGAATTACAGCTGAGCTTCTGAAAGCGGGTGGAACACCGGTACTTGAAGTCCTTCACAAGCTTTTCAATTCCGTCCTTCATTGTGGCACTACTCCGGAGGCGTGGAGCAGAAGTGCGGTTGTCTTGTTCTTTAAGAAAGGCGACAATGCTCTCTTGCAGAACTACAGACCGATTTCACTTCTGAGCCACATCTGCGTGCTGTTTTCGAGAGTCATTACGAATCGTCTCGCACGCAGACTCGACGACTTCCAGCCTCCCGAACAAGCCGGTTTCCGAAAAGGCTTTAGTACCATAGACCACATACATACCCTGCGGCAGATTGTACAGAAGACCGAAGAATACAATCTGCCACTTTGCCTGGCCTATGTGGACTATGAGAAAGCCTTTAATTTCGTCGATTTCTTTGATAGCAAAGATAGAACTCAGCATAAATAAATCGCCAAGGACCTTCTGGTCCTTCATTATATTTCTTTTCTTCTTTACTCGAGGTAGGTATCAGCGGCGACCTGTTTAGGTGGTTTAAATCTTATATTGAGAATCGTTGTCAGACAGTAGTACTCAATGGTTATACGTCAGCAACTGTGCAAATCCCTTCAGGTATACCGCAGGGATCGCTATTAGGTCCGTTGCTATATGCGATTTTTATGAATGATATAGGTTCCTGCTTCACGTACTCCAAAATAATCCTTTATGCTGATGACATGAAAATTTTATGTCCCGTTACA